CAAAAATGAAAAAAGGTGAGCGGGATGCCACTGTATTTGATTTATTACATGAGCAATATCTTAAATATAAAAGATAGCTTGTCAATATCTGTAAGTCATGAAATAATATGTCAATAAAATTTTGAACGCGAGTCAACAAACAAGATGACATGGCCTTTTACCTGTGACCCACCTCAAATGGGTTAAGTAACTAACACTGATCTGAATACTTCACCAGCTTTTCAATCACTGACTGAACTGACAACTTCACTGAATGTCTGGCATTATACTAACTAAAACTGACTCAATTCTTGTATTTATAACATATCCTTGTTCTAGATATTTCATAAGGTCTTTTATAATCTTACTTGATCTTACTGTAATGTGTCCTCTAGCTAATATATACATTAAAACACTGGCAACATATCTTACAATAGAATATATATATATATATATACACACACACACACACACAGAAACAAAACTAAACCTTTACATTCAACTAACTGATAACATACTTAATCTAGCACAGAACAAGCAAAACTAGATATCCCCCTTAAAAACATTCAAATAGTTAGCTGATTCAAGTTCTAATGAAGAGATCACAGTTGAATTACCAACACACCAGATGACCCAAGTTCAAATCCTGGCCACTACTAACACAGAAAACAGTCCATCCCAGGACTCCCCTGACAAAAAAAAAGCAGATTATAACACCCATAAAATAAAATAAATTTTACTGCTTAGGTGATCAAATATGCCACTAACAGTTGATATCAAACAGCCATAGTCTTACCATAAGTACATAATGCATTTTAGTTATTTGTATCACATTTAATACTGATAACAGTACAAAATGGTCTCCCTATACAAATCACTAGTTATAACTCACTTGGATTAGTGTAGTTTTGGTCCATTATCTGAGAAGAGATATTGAGTTAATGGAAAGAGTTCAAAGGAAAACTAATAGGATTGTTAGGCTATCTAAGAGATAGGTTAAGATCTCTAACTTTATTTTCTGTTACTGAAGTTTATAAGATAATCCAGGGAATTGACAGGATAATTGTCTCTGCTTTTCTTTGAACTACATTCTGAAGATGGAAGAATGCAAGTATGATTTGGCATGGATCCATTTAAAACAGTTATTTGTCCAACAGTAAGACTTTCTTATGTAATGATTTGTCATCATCCATTGACAATATTGGAGACCAGCATGGATCCATTTAAAACAGTTATTTGTCCAACAGTAAGACTTTCTTATGTAATGATTTGCCATCATCCATTGACAATATTGGAGACCAGCACTTTACAGAAGTTTAACCCATTCACTGCAGCCATAACATATATGGGTAGGACTTTCTTTCATCTGTGTGCTTGCCAACTCAAGGTGATGAACTCTACACTTGCCAACTCAAGGTGATGAACTCTACACTTGCCTACTCAAGGTGATGAACTCTACACTTGCCTACTCAAGGTGATGAACTCTACACTTGCCAACTCAAGGTGATGAACTCTACACTTGCCTACTCAAGGTGATGAACTCTACACTTGCCAACTCAAGGTGATGAACTCCACGGTAACAAGTATCTCTAAGGATGAATTCTCTTTCCCTGAAGAAGTTCAATTTCGCTGGTTTTAGAACCAAATGGCACTAAGGAAAAGTAATGAGATGGGCTGACACTTGCGACACCTGACAAATCTCAACAACCACATGATCAAAACTAAAGCATTGAACAGGGTCATTTAAGGCCAGCAACTCTTTACGTCGGCAGTCTCATCCCAGCAAAATTGATAAACACATTATAATCTTCCGAATATAATACATTCCCAAGTACAAAATATGAACCTAAACTTTAACAATACAAAGGTCGACTTAATTATTTAATAACAAGAATGTTCGTGTCTGTATAATTTCTAATTATGCATTCACCACAATGCTTGCTACCATTGCAATCGTAGCCAGCAAATAAACATAGTCAAACTGTTAGGGTATCCATAAAATCACTAAAAGTGAGTTCATCTTAGCACTTGCTATGTAGAGAAGTTGTGCCTACTGTTCGAGGACAGTGATTTGGACTAAGAATTTGAAAGTTTCACCGAGAACAATTTGAAGTTTTGAATATCAAATGTAATGTGCATTGATGATTAATTTTTTTGTAAATCACTGAGTGTTGTAACTTGAGCTATAAAACTCTTCATGTAGGATCCACTACACAAACATCTTGAAAACCACTGAATGTTGTAACTTGACCTATAAAACTCTTCATGTAGGATCCACTACACAAACATCTTGAAAACCACTGAATGTTGTAACTTGAGCTATAAAACTCTTCATGTAGGATCCACTACACTAACATCTTGTAAACCACTGAATGTTGTAACTTGAGCTATAAAACTCAAGTAGGATCCACTACACTAACATCTTGTAAACCACTGAATGTTGTAACTTGAGCTATAAAACTCATGTAGGATCCACTACACTAACATCTTGTAAACCAATGGATGTTGTAACTTGAGCTATAAAACTCTTCATGTAGGATCCACTACACTAACATCTTCCAAACCAATGGATGTTGTAACTTGAGCTATAAAACTCTTCATGAAGGATCCACTACACGAACATCTTGTAAACCACTGAATGTTGTAACTTGACCTATAAAACTCTTCATGTAGGATCCACTACACTAACATCTTGTAAACCACTGAATGTTAGGATCCACTACACTAACATCTTGTAAACCACTGAATGTTGTAACTTGAGCTATAAAACTCATGTAGGATCCACTACACTAACATCTTGTAAACCACTGAATGTTGTAACTTGAGCTATAAAACTCTTCATGTAGGATCCACTACACTAACATCTTGTAAACCACTGAATGTTGTAACTTGAGCTATAAAACTCTTCATGTAGGATCCACTACACTAACATCTTGTAAACCACTGAATGTTGTAACTTGACCTATAAAACTCCATCATAAAACACATGTAAAGTTCTGGTCTCCACTACTTCCAACAGGAGCTCATTCTCCACCATAAAACACCTGTAAAGTTCTGGTCTCCACTACTTCCAACAGGAGCTCATTCTCCACCATAAAACACCTGTAAAGTGCTGGTCTCCACTACTTCCAACAGGAGCTCATTCTCCACAATAAACACCTGTAAAGTGCAGGTCTCCACTACTTAACTTTACAGGTGTTTTATTGTGGAGAATGAGCTCCTGTTGGTGGTCTCCACTACTTCCAACAGGAGCTCATTCTCCACAATAAAACACCTGTAAAGTTCTGGTCTCCACTACTTCCAACAGGGGCTCATTCTCCACAATAAAACACCTGTAAAGTTCTGGTCTCCACTACTTCCAACAGGAGCTCATTCTTAAGACAATCACACATTTAGAAAAAAATTAATTAGAGCCTAGCTTATCTTTTCCAAATCTTAAATTTGTCTTCTTGTTCTATTGACCCCCCCCCCCCATAATCTTGTAAACTTCAATAGCATCATATCTTGCCCTTCTTTCTTGAAGAAAAAGTAACCTACATCTATAACTTATAACTTACAGTTCCCCACGTTACTTTCTGTTGATTCCTCAGAACACAAACTTCCTCCTTCATAAGTTAAAAAATACCCAAACATTTTCAATAAAATATGTAAAACCTTAAGTCATTGCACTTGCATGAAGGGTTAGGGTGCATTGTCATGCTGGAAAACAAATGTTAAATTTAATCATGAAACTTAAAAATGTAACATTAAATGCAAAAAACTCAAGAAATCATAAAAAATGTAAGCCTACACATGAACAATACTACATTTGATTCAACAATAAGTTATACTAGCCACAATGTCACAAAAGTAATGTCTCTACAATTTTTTTTCACAGTACCGTTTTATGAGCTTTTATTACTATCATTATTAGTGGATATCATTTTGTAACTTAATTTTACTCCTAATTATCACTAGCATGTTCTGGTAGTCACTGCACTGCAATACTACTACTAGTGCTAGTAGTAATACCATTACTATTAGTATTACTAATGTTCATTACATTAGTCATTAGTGAATTAGTAAAAATATGTGCTAACGCATTCTGCTTTAAACGAGTAATAACGTTAAGCTTGAAATATATAATATAACTTTAAGTAATAATAAATATATTATAACTAGTGCCTATCGTTACGTCAGGTTTTACCCTGGTCAAGTTTTAGACATTTAACGAAGCCTAAGTTCACTGTTCAGTATTACTTAACACATAAGTATAAAACCATCAAGTTAGGCTTATGTACAAAGTACAATTACAGTTGTTTCAACTTACGTTTGTTTAAAAAAATTACCTTTACAATTTACCACTTGACAAACAAACCACTTCGTTATAAATAGGCTATTTTATTCTAAGTTCTCAGTAAGACACTTCGTTTATAAATTATGAAACCATGTTATTCTTATTCTTACAATGTTCTTCAACAAGTTCATATCGTATCCTGACATATAACCAACACGTTTGAAAATATGCTAAACATAGGAATCACATAGCATGAGTGATTAACCTATTTAGAAAACTAAAACAGTTTTATTAAATACGCTAAAAACATTTTAATGTAATATTTATATTATTTTCCTTGTTTGATTAATCGAATAAATGAGAAATGTGCATTCATACAGACATAAATAAAGAAATAAAATAATTGAAAATAAATTTCAAATTAGGATTAACGGCTGTCTAATGTGAAAATATAGACTTGAAGTTAAAAACATTTTTGCGCATTCAACAAATCATTGTATTTGTTTGTTTTTGAATTTCGCGCAAAGCTACACGAGGGCTATCTGCGCTAGCCGTCCCTAATTTAGCAGTGTAAGACCAGAGGAAAGGCAGGTAGTCATC